AAAAACAGTCAGCCAATCAGAGATCACCTAAAAAACAGTCAGCCAATCAGAGATCACCTAAAAAAACCTTTCAGCCAATCAGAGATCACCTAAAAACAGTCAGCCAATCAGAGATCACCTAAAAAACAGTCAGCCAATCATAGATCACCTAAAAAACAGTCAGCCAATCAGAGATCACCTAAAAAAACAGTCAGCCAATCAGAGATCACCTAATTAATTTTTACCAGTCATGGTAACAAATAACCATCGTGTTTTTGTGGATTTAGAAAAATCATGTGACAGAGTGCCGAGGGAGGAGGTGTGGTGTTACATGAGGAGATCTGGAGTGGCAGAGAAGTATGTTAGACTGGTACAGGACATGTATGAGGACAGCAGGACATGTATGAGGACAGCAGGACATGTATGAGGACAGCAGAACAGTGGTGAGATGTGCTGCAGGAGTGATGGATAGCTTAAAGGTGGAGGTGGGAGTACATCAAGGATCTGCTCTGAGCCCCTTCTTGTTTGCTCTGGTGATGAACCGTCTAACAGTTGAGGTCAGGAAGGAATCCCCGTGGACGATGATGTTTGCAGATGACATTGTGATCTGTGGTGAGAACAGGGAACAGGTGGAAGAGAACTTGGAGAGGTGGAGGTATGCACTTGAAAGAAGAGGAATGAAAGTCAGCCGTAGTAAGACAGAGTCCATGTGTGAATGAGAGGGAGGAGGTGGAACAGTGAGGCTACAAGGAGCAGAGGTCACAAAGGTGCAGGACTTCAAGGACTTGGGGTCCACTGTCCAGGAACATGGGGAGTGTGGTGAAGAGGTGAAGAAGAGAGTCCAGGCAGGATGGAGTGATGGAGAAAAGTTTCAGGAGTGATTTGTGACAAAAGGGTGTCAGCAAAGGTCAAAGGAAAAGTTTACAAGACAGTGGTGAGACCAGCTCTGTTGTATGGTCTGGAGACGGAGACATGGACAAAAAGACAGGAGACAGAACTGGAAGTGGCAGAAATACGCTGGTGAAGCTTCTCAGTCATCCAGGACATGATGAATTCAAAAAACGTCCAGTACAAAAACAACTAGACTTTATTTGTAACAGAAGACGTTTCGCTCCTCATTCTCATCTGATCCAATCAGAAGTCCTTTGGATGAAAGATGAAACTTTTCTACAATTTTTTTTTGTTTTTTGAACTCGTCCAGAGGACCAGACTTAACATTTTTTGAATTTTTCTACCTGGATTATTGATCCTGCATCAGGATAATTAAAGTGTCAGAAATGAAGATGTTGAGGTTCTCCTTAGGAGAGACGAGGATGGAGAAGATCAGGAATGAGATCATCAGAGGTACAGCACAGGTTGAACAACTGGGAGATGAAGTTAGAGAGGACACACTGAGATGGTTTGGACATGTCCAGAGGAGGGACAGTGGGTATAATGGTAGAAGGATGTTAGAAAAGCAGCTGCCAGGAAAAAGACAAAGAGGGGACATATGGATGCAGTTAGAGAGGACATGGAGGTAGATGAATAGACTAGTCGGCCAGTCTATTCTAGGACATCTCACAAGTTATTATATTTCACATCGACTAGTCGCAGTCACCACCGCCCCCCGCTGTTCCCAGCCCTATTCCACCTAATCCACGTGTTGGGTTAAATAAAATACAACTAAGAAGAGCGGGGCGGGTGGTGGTGAACTCCACCGACGCCCGCCCCGCTCTTCCTAGCCTATTTTTTGACGTGCCACACGTTTCTTTCACTTTTGCAGCTCAATAGTAGTTTTGGTTTTCCTGTGATGTATTTGCAGTATGATAAATGGTAGGAGCATAAATATACGCCCGATGTTTTGTTGTTCTTATTTTTGTAAATAATAAATAGTTTTTTGTAAATTATTTATGTTTTTTTGTTTTTTGGGTTTTTTTGTTGCAAATATGATATAGCGTCTTGAGTTCCTATGACGTCATCGACTAGTCGACGTCGGCTCGACTTTTATCATGTTGAAGTCGACTTTAAAAAATGTGTAGTCAATCAACCTGTTAGGTATTTATCTAAACTGTTCCTGGGGTTTTGATCTGCTCAGAACCAGGATTATAATGAAATTATGGCCCGGTTCTGAGCAGATCAAAACCCCAGGACCAGTTTAAATAAATACCTAACAAACCCCTAGTATCTCCTCCCAGATCCTGACCGGGGCATCACTGAGCTCCTTGACAGTCTGGTGGTGTCGGATGGACCTAAACATGATGTCCCAGAGATGTTCCAGTCAATGGTAGCAATTCCTTCATCCTCCAGCAACTGCCTGCATGCTCCTGCAACATGAAGCCGGACATTATCATGTACCAGGAGGAACCCAGGACCCACTGCACCAGCAGAGGGTCTAACAATGGGTCTAAGGATTTCATCCTAAAACCTAATGGCTGCAAGTGTTCCATCATTTATCCCGTAAAGGTCTGTACGTGCCTCCACAGACCACACCAGACCCATCATGCTGAACAATGTTGCAGGCAGCATGGCGTTCACCGCAGCTTCTCCAGACCTTTTCTCATCTTTCGCATGAGCTCAGAGTGAACCTGATGTCGTCTGTGAAAAGAACAGGCACCAGTGCTGGATCTGCCGATTCTGGTGTTCTCTAGCAAATACCAGTCGAGCTCCACGGTGCCGGGCAGTGAGCACAAGGCCCACTAGAGGATGCCAGGCCCTCAGGCCACCTTCATGAAGTCTGGTTCTAATGGTTTGGTCAGAAACATTCATGTCAGTGGCCCCCTGGAGGTCACTTTGTAGGGCTCTGGCAGTACGCACCCTGTTCCTCCTTACACTAAGGAGCAGATACTGATACTGCTGATGGGTTAAGGACCTTTGATGTAGAGTTGCATTCGGGCCCAAAAAATCCGACCTGGCCTCAGCCCGCAGTCATCATTTCCAAACCCCACCCGACCCGACGAATTAACAGTAATTACAGGTCCGAACCCAGAAAAAACCCTGACATTTTTAATTAGTTATTAACGGTTGGGCACGTGCGGCTGAATAAACGGAGCAGAAGATTCGGAGCTGAGAGGCGTTTGTCCTTTCATGGCCGTAAAAGAAAATTTAAACCCTGTTTCAATTCAATTCAAAAATACTTTATTAATCCCAGAGGGAAATTATTTGTTGTAACTCGTTATCCTCATTTCATTAAGAGATGTTACAGATGCTGATGCTGTAGACAGGAAGGATCTCTTGTAAAGGTCCATCCCACAGTGGATCCTAAGAAACTGGCTGCAGATGCCGTCCGATCCGTCCACCCAGACTCGGCTGGCGTCTCGGTTCCTCCGGGCTGTAGGACCGCCTGAATGCCGAACAGAACTCCTCCCACAGCGATGGCCACTCCTCCCAGCAGTCTGCTGAGCTCCTCGTCGCTGCGGACAGCCAACTGTAGGTGCTGAGGGACGATCCTGTCCTTCTGCTGTCATGAGCCGTGTTTCCTGCTAGTTCCAGGATCTCAGTGATCAGGCACTCGAGCACAGCTGGCAGGTAGATGAGAATGCATCCACAGAACATCCTTTCAACTCATCCTGATGCATGCTCAATAATCCAGGTAGAAAAATCTAAAAAAGTTAAATCTGGTCCTCTGGACAGTTTTTTGAATGTCCAGAGGACCAGATTTAACTTTTTTTAGATTCTTTTAACTCATTTGAGATTTGGGGCTGTAGCTGAGATATTACTTGAGTTTTGAGATGTTAATCAGCTGTTGGTTGTAGAAAACTGCCTTGTTGCCATGGTTACGCATCATAACAAATGTCCAAAACTAAAAATAGTTTCAGTAAAAATCCTTCCAGCTGCTCAGCATCTGATACCAGAGGAAACAATCATCCAAAAAAATGTGATTTACATCCAGAAAAAGAGGAATTAAAGTTTCCAAAAGCAAAATCTCAGAATGAAAGTAGCAGAGCTGCTCCAACATGCAGCCACCTGGAGCGGCGCAATTCTGGAATAGCTTGAGTTTCTGCTGCGTTCTGATTTATTCAGACATGGACTCTGCTCTGAAACATCTGTTTTGAGATCTCACCTGCTTGGGTCATCGGCCGCGTGCGTCCGCTGAGTTCAGCGGCTGAATAAACGTCCATTTGGGCGATGGATCACTTCCTGGCAGTACAGTCCATCTGAAGCTTAACTGAACTTTTTGTATTTTTCAAGTCCGGTCAGCTCGCGGTGAAATGGCTGCATGCAGCTGGTGGATGCATGGCAGGCTATGTTATCATATAATTGCATCGCAGCTGATCCTGACCCACTCAAAAGCCCGACCTGGCCTGCCCATCCAGCTCATTATCATGGACTGGCCCACCCTGAAATGACAGGTCTACTCTGATGGCCCTGTCCAACTCTCCTAGACCCTCTGGAGACTCCTCCATGCTCTTGAAACTCTTCTGGGAGACGCAGCAAACCTGGCGATGGATGTGCCGTCCTGGTGGAGCTGCTCTGCCTGAGCAGCCTCTGCAGGGTCCAGGGATCGCCTCATGCCAGTACTGACGAGTCAAATGAAAACTACAGAAAAGCAGTTAAAAAATGTCTGCAGCTCCCAGCTGCAAAACTGTTCCTGTTGTGGGGTCGTCTCATTGTTGCTAGTTATTTTTGTGCAAATTGTTGTTAAAAGCTAACGTTATGATAAGTGTAGCTATTTTTATTCCAGCTCAGTTTTATATCACTCGCAAACGATTGTTTCTCAAACAGCCTGAAGGTGTGACCTCTTCCTGTTAGCTCTCACTGTTGGAGTGCGTGATGTCATCATAAAGATCTGTGATGTTTTTATAACCCCACCTCTTTCAGGATCACCTGGTTGGTGTTCTGGGCGTGGCCTCCACCGTCGCTCATGAGCTCGGTCACAATCTGGGGATGAGGCACGATACCGCCGAGCGCCGCTGCTCCTGCCAGAACGAGCCGCGCCTCGGAGGATGCATCATGGAGCCATCGACTGGGTCGGTATCTGACCCATATTCCCGTCAGAACATCAGTAGAACTTGTTCTTTGTCTATGAGGAGAGCTGCAGCTCACCTGACCTTTGACCTCTGATGTCAGGTTCATGCCCGGTCAGCTGTTCAGCAGCTGCAGCGCCTCAGACCTGTCTGTCAGTCTGCTGCACGGCGGCGGCATGTGTCTGTTCAACGTGCCGCAGCCCGAGCGCCTGCTGGGAGGACCTCGCTGTGGAAACCTGTACGTGGAGAAAGGAGAGCAGTGTGACTGCGGCCTGCTGCAGGTAATTTACCTGTCTGTTCACCTGTACACCTGTCTGTCTGTTCACCTGTACACCTGTCTGTCTGTTCACCTATACACCTGTCTGTCTGTTCACCTGTACACCTGTCTGTCTGTTCACCTGTACACCTGTCTGTCTGTTCATTTGTACACCTGTCTGTCTGTTCACCTGTACACCTGTCTGTCTGTTCATCTGTACACCTGTCTGTCTTTTCGCCTGTACACCTGTCTGTCTGTTCACCTGTACACCTGTCTGTCTGATCACCTGTACACCTGTCTGTTCATTTGTACTACTGTCTGTCTGCTCACCTGTACACCTGTCTGTCTCTTCGCCTGTTTGTTTGGGTTTTAGTTGCTGTTTTGCTACTGTTACATTGTAGCAACAATTTTGCCTATTTTAGCTTTTGTTCTGCTGCTTTTAGCTTCTGTTCTGCTGCTTTTAGCTTGTGTTCTGCTCATGTGAGCCGCTGATTAATTAGTTGAATCGTTTCCCATGATGCTGCTGCGCTCTGATTGGTCAGGAGTGTGAGGACCCCTGCTGTAACGCCTCCACCTGTCAGCTGGTTCCTGGAGCTCAGTGCTCATCTGATGGTGTCTGCTGTCAGGACTGTAAGGTCAGACACACGAAACCTCCTGATATAATCCCAGAGTTTCAGACCATCAGATTTTAATCCCAGCTTCCTGTTCATCTCAGCTGCGGGCGGCGGGCTCTATGTGCCGCGAGCCACTCGGTGACTGCGACCTGCCCGAGTTTTGTACAGGCTCCTCCCCCTACTGCCCCCCCAACGTCTTCCTGCAGAACGGCGAGCTCTGCGAGGACGGCTCCTCTTACTGCTACGGAGGCGTCTGCGCCAACATGGACACCCAGTGCCAGATGCTGTGGGGGCCCAGTAAGAAAACTGAGCTGAAACCAGTTCGTACTGGGTTCATACATGGTTTGAACTGGTCCTAGACCTGTTCTAACACAGCACTCCAAGTTTTCAGTTTTTGTTGACATTTGACTAGTTTGTCCACATAAAACCTTATTTATGAAGATTTTTTAATGAATCCAGTTTTTGTTGAGTTGATTTTTCGTTTGTTTTTCTTTCGGCTGCTCCCGTGGAGTTGGGTTGAGCTGATAATGGAGGCTAAGCCTTATATTTATTTAAAATTAGTTCATGAAAACTCAAGACTTTTTATTCTGAGACCTAAACTCTTTTTTATCATTTCACTCTAGTCTAATTGCCAAAGTAAAATGATATATTCCTTCACCCTGTAATGTTTGTTGGGATTAAACCAGTTTATCTCGCATTAACCTATTTTATAATAAACTCAAAATGGTTTATAATCAAGTCAAAACTGTTTATATTGAAGTAAAGCCAGTAATCTCCTCCTGCATTCAAAGCCTATAGCAGCATAACAAGCCAACCCTAACTATAGGATTTATGAAAAAGGAAAGTCTTAATCCCAGTCTTCAAACTGGACAATGTGTCAGCCTCACGGACTGAAACTGGAAGTTGGTTCCACAAGAGAGGAGCCTGAGAACTGGAAGATCTTCCTCCCATTCTGCTTCTGGAAACTCTAGGAACCACAAGTAAACCTGCAGTCTGAGAGCAAAGTGCTCTTTTAGGAAAGTATGGAACAATAAGGTCTGATTGATCTTATTGGCTCTTTAACTCGTTTTTACTGGTTTGTTTTGTCAGCCCTAACCAGGTGTGACCAGTTTATACTGGATTTACATGGAGACAAAACCAGTTCATATTAAATGTTTTAACGGTTTACAAACACAGATGGTTCACTCTGAGCCTAAACCATTTGATTTTTAGTTGAAATAAATCCTGAGCCCGTTTGGTTTGTGTGTTAGATGCCACCAGCGCTCCAGATGTTTGCTTCTCATCTGTCAACAAACAAGGAAACAAATATGGAAACTGTGGTCAGCTGACCAACGGCTCCTACGTTCCCTGTGGAAGCTCGTGAGTCAGATCACTTTGTGTGCTCCTCCTAGAAATCTCATGATGCCTGTGTGAAAACACTCCAATTCTCAGGAACATTACATCACTTCCTGTCCCGTTTTGTTTTGGTTTCAGGGACGTTCTCTGTGGTCGGATCCAGTGTCAGGGCGGGACAGAGCGCCCCCTGCTGGGCAGCATCGCTCAGATTCTCACGGTCCGCTTCAACAACAGTGACCTGGTCTGCAGAGGGACCTTCTTCCACCTGGACGACGACGTGTCCGACCCCGCCACCGTGGCCCAGGGCACCGCCTGCGGCCCCGGCAAGGTCAGACTGCGCCTTCTGCAGGCTCGACAGGGTCCGAGTGAAGACCGGATCAGACACGAGTGGACCGCTTCTGCTTAACTTTGATCACATTTATTTTATCAAACCAAAAGATCCGCTGAAGCAGGAAATCTAGAAAATAAACAAGACATCTTGGAAAAAATTAAAACTAAACTCAATCTGAAAACTCAAAGTTTGTTTTCTCAGTCATCCAGGTATGTAACAACAAAAAAGGTTGAATCATGTCATCTGGACTTCGTTTTTTGTTAAAAAGAAACGTTTCGCCCCTCATCCAAGAGGCTTCGTCAGTCTGAGGCCTAGCCATCTGGTATTACCCAGAAGCCACCCTGACTCTTGTGTTTCAAGCCTGCCTCAGATACCCCTGAAGTCTGGCCTTTTCACTAATGGTTTCAAAAACCATTCTTCTGGCTTCTGGGTAATACCAGATGGCTAGGCCTCAGACTGACGAAGCCTCTTGGATGAGGGGCGAAACGTTTCTTTTTAACAAAAAACGAAGTCCAGATGACATGATTCAACCTTTTTTGTCAATCTGAAAACAATTTCACTAAAAATATTGTTCTGAGAGCGAGATTACAAACATTAGAAATGTAAGAATATAAACAGGAAGCATCAAGTGTGAATGCCTTGTTTTACTTTCAGATCTTAGAAATTAATTTAAAAGACTTGGAAGGAACGAATGGAAACTTTACAGAAGTTAACAAAGTCCAGGCTCAATAATCCAGGTATACAATCCAACAATTTTCAGTCAGGTCATCTGGACAGTTTCTTTTTTTTTGTGCTGAAATGTTTCACCTTCCATCCAGAAGGCTTCATCAGTCAAGGAAACACACAACTGGGGTAGTGGTGGCGCAGAGGTTAGAGAAGGTGGGCCTGTGATCGGAAAATCGCCGGTTCAAGCCCTGGTACTGACAATCAAAAATGTGGGTGGGGTAGGTGAAGCACCCACACTTGCCCCCACCCTCATTCGCCCCACTCTGGGCCCATGAGCAAGGCCTTAACCCCCATCTGCTCCCTAAACAGGTCTCTCTTGTAAATGAGTTCTCCTGGCTCAATGAGACTACCTGGATAAATAAAGGCTAAATGAAAGGAAACACAACACAAACTGATTCTTCCTCCAACAGCTTACTCCAAAGTGGAACAAACCAGTTATGTTGGTGCTAAGATGGTGTCTTTGGCACGCCCCTCCTCCGGTGCTGGCCAACATAACTGGTTTGTTCCACTTTGGAGGAAGATGTTTGGGGGAAGAATCAGTTTTGTGTTGTGTGTTTCCTTGACTGATGAAGTCTTCTGGATGGAAGGTGAAACGTTTCTGGAAAAGAAAAAGAAACTGTCCAGATGACCTGACTGAAAAATGCTGGGTTTAACAGAAGTTGTCGACTCATGCTCAGATCTGTCGGCTCACGGAGTTCGTTATTTTTATTGTCTGAACGCCGAGTCAGCATTATTCACTCTGATTTATTTTTAAGAACATTTTTGACAAACTGATTCTGCAGGCGAGCAGGTCCCTGGTTCAAACCCCGGTCCAGGGGCCTTTCTGGGTGGAGTTTGCATGTTCTCTCCGTGCATGCGTGGGTTTTCTCCGGGTACTCCGGTTTCCTCCCACAGACCAAAAACATGCATGTTAGGCTGATTGGTAACTCTAAATTGTCCCTAGGTGTGAGTGAGAGAGTGAATGGTTGGTTGTCTCGTTTGTCTCTATGTGTCCCTGTGATGGACTGGAGACCTGTCCAGGGTGTACCCCGCCCCTCGCACAGTGATTGTTGGACATGGGCACCAGCGACCCCCGTGACCCAAAATGGAATAAGCGGGTAAAAGAAAATGGATGGATGGATGGATGATTCTGCAGGCTTTATTTTAGTCATTTATAGATCAAACCTTCAGCTCATTAAGGAGATGTCTGATGGTCTTTTTCACTTTTTTAAACATTTATTTTATTAACAAACATCCTCTTGATCAAGATCTCTTCCATGCCTTCAAAAACATTGGTCCGTTTGAAAACAGCTTCAGCTCCTGGCTCTGGTGTTGTTTTTCTGTGCTACATTTAGCTCTTAGTTAGCCTTTAGCTACTTTCAGATAGCTTTTTGGTTCTTTCATCTAGTAATCTGTTACTTTAACCTTCAACAACTAAGTTTTATCTTCTTTAACAAGCTTTAGCAGGTATCAGTGCTCACACTTAGGCACATTATTAGCTTTAGCAGTGGTATTATTAGGGGTAGCATTATTAGCAGTAGCAGCATTAGCAGTGGTGTTATTAGCGGTAGCATTATTAGCAGTAGCAGCATTAGCATTGTTATTATTTTCAGCAGCAGCATTAGCAGTGGTGGCATTAGCAGTGGTATTATTAGCGGTAGCATTATTAGCAGTAGCAGCATTAGCAGTGCTGTTATTTGCAGCAGCAGCATTAGCAGTGGTGTTATTAGCGGTAGCGTTATTAGCAGTGGTGTTATTAGTGTAGTGAACCAGATGACCTCAAATCTACCAGATGGACAGAGACTGTTATTTTCATTGATCTGAATAAGTCTGGGCCATCTGATGAACTTTCTTTCTTGAATTAATCAAGCAGAAAAGACAATCCTCTATAATCATTACTGTTTTACAAATGTTTTGATAATCAAATTGTGTTAGTTCACTCAATGCTTTACAGGTTGAAAAGAACTACTCATTTTTATTTTACATAAACAGTAAGTAATGATTTTTATTCCTCATTCAGAGAAGAAATCACCTGAATAAGCATTCCTTGATTTTCTGTCTGAAATGAGCAAGCTGTCGTAAGTGTGTGAAAGGTTGGTTTTCGGTCAACTAAAATGTTTACCGAGAAAAATGTCATGTTTAAACTTTTTCAGAAGATTACCAAGAGTTGACTCCACGAAGTCTGCTGTTGCTGCAATAATCTTTTCTGTATGTTAAACAAATTTCATTCTCTGACCTCGACTGTTGATAAACACCTTACGTCAAAACCACTCCTCTTTCTGGTCCTTCCACGAATCAGAAAGCTCTAAATTGAACAGGAAGTAAACTCATTTAAAAATGTGACAACTTCCCAGTTCAAGAGAGAATTCGAGAATTCCAGAATTCCAAGAGATTGAGAGTTCATGGAAGAGTGAGAGTCCAACAGAAAAAGATTCCATGGAGAATGGAAAAGTTCTGAAGGAGTTCAGAAGAGAACTAGAGTTATGAAGAGTTTTGGAGTTGCCGAGAATCCAGGGACGTTTGGGATTATAATTCTGTTTTGAGCTAACCACGCACGACTCCGAGGATTTTAGCTGTTCTTAACGGAGGCGCTGGAAACAGTCTGAAGGATGCTTACTGAGCTGATCTATCGTCAAACCAGGTAAAGACTTCTTCTTCGACTAAAGTGTACCGTGGACGGGCTGAGGATCTGACGGAGCGTGCAACTTCTGGTCAAACAGATTAAATTCCCTCACACAGTTCTCTGTAAGATAATCTCCTTTCATCTTAAACTCTTCTCTCTCACAAAATCAGTACAGATATTTTAGAAATATCTGAAGCAAAGTCCTCAAATCACCGCCGAGTGATTTGAAGTTCATTTTCTGTGAAACTGTCTGTTATTATTTTCATATTTTGCCAAATTAATGTAAATGTTTGATGTTAAACTTTGATTCTGAAAATAAATGATTCCATTCATTTGATGGGTCAAAGGTAATAACGTCTCTTGTTCGCATTCCTTTAAATTCAATGCACGGCATTACACAGTCAGAAAGATGAAGAACTCGTGAAAAGTATGCATAAATATATATCCATATATTTGTCATACAACAAGTGACACGTACCTCACGTGACTCACTACAAACTGGTGGCCTCGTACGTTTCATGAATGACTGTTAATCCGTGTGTAAATTGATTTTACGTGTTGGCATGTTGAAAAAGTAACAGCTGACGAGCTGTGAATGTTTACGCAGCGGCTGAGCTGCGCGCTTGGAGCTGCACCGTTCAAGCAAACGCTGCATGTATAAGCGTTGGGCTGGCAATGTTTTAAGAGCTGAAATTGTGTCATTAAGTCTTGTGTAAGCTGAAATTGTACGTCTGTTACGTGTAACTAAAAGCTGATGAGCTGTGGAAGACGTTATTCTGTCTAAAAGTACGAGGTTCTGCTAAGACCCGGCTGTGACCCAGTTTCGGTTCTGTTCAGTTTGAACGAGTATTTTGAATAGATGGATAAACGTTTTAAAAGCTGAGTGCCATCTCAGAACACAGTTAGAAGTTGTTTCGTTACAATTTTTAACAGAAAAAGTGCATTTTGATAGTTTAAAAGACGAAAAGTTGACGAACTATTTTACGCTAATCTAACTTGCTAGTTGGAGAATACGCTTCGTGATTGGTTGAATTCGCTGTTGTGGAGCGCTTTGATTGGTTGAGAAATTTGACTGACGTGCTACGTCATCTCCCCTCAAGCCTGCGCTGCGTTGCCATTGGTGATTTCAGTCACGTGACCCGGATATGAAATTCATTTTCATAGGGAAATAAAATCTGCTTTTTAAAGCTAAAAAGCGCCTTTTAAAGTGATTCTGAAACGCTGTTAAGTGCTTCGAAGCCTGCTCGCTGAAATTCTGCCACGTTACAGTTTAAAAGACCGTCATAAAATGATGCTTTTGAACTACGCTAGCGATGCTAATTTTAAGCTAAACAGCTAACGACCGGAGCCTAAACTACGCTTAAAATCACTAAATGAAGTGCTATACTGTCCCAAAAACTCATGTTTGAAGCTATAAAGTCTGATTGCAAAACTTTTGCCACTTTTGTGTAAAAAATCCGTTCAGAAATGTTGATTTTAACCGAGTTTAGCCGAAGCTAACTTCAAGCTAAGCAGCTAACAACAGGATGTCAACCGAACGCCACAGGAAGTTATAGCACCCCTAGTGGACAACACAAAAAGTGACGGAGTTATAATTGTTGAGGAAATACTGACATCTCCTGGCGAAACGTGAGATCACAGATTTCACTTCGTTTTTAGGTAAAGAGTGAAATTAAACGTTTTCTTTATTTTTCTGTAAGACAATTTCGAGTTAACAAACTTCCTCAGAGCTGAATAAAACACTGTTATCTTACATTTTAAAAAGTAATAGGTATTTATGCAAAGAAGCATTTACCAAAAAATTTTATTCACTGATAAATCCTTAAAACAGGTCCAAAATAAAATTAGAAACTTTTTAAAAAACAGATACAGTTACAAATATTCACAGAGTTGAACAGTTTACTCATTTTGCTTGAAGGATAATACACGTTTAATTGCAAAATCACTAAATAAGAGTAAATTTATCAGGAAAAAGAGATTTTCTGTTTAATTTACCACCTAAATAAAATGTCTCTCTATTTAATTTTAAATAGAAGCTATACAGGAGCAAATACAGTTTTTCTGAAGAAAGACTGATTATTCCTCATCATCAAATTCTTTTCTCTTCTCACCCACCTGGGATGATGAGTAACTGTTTAAAATAGCAAAATTTCTGGAACAGAACGGTTTAAAAAACGTTTTAAACTAATATTGCTGTGAGACTAAAGAAAAATTTGCAGGTTTATAAAAATTCAGTGTTTTAGAGTAAAATACACAAAAAACAGCTTGGTACTCTAGTATCTGTGGAAAATAAGCACAAAAAGTAACACTGCTGAAAGAGCATTTACTTAAATATTCATGAATTGGGGTAAAACCTGAGAAAGGTACCCACATTTGAATAAGTTGACTTATAACAGTACTTCTGTGTAAACCCAAAGCTAAAATAAGTGTGAAAACTCATTGACTTGAATACAAATATTTACCTGTAAAATATCTAAAGCTTGCAACTGTTTAAAACAGATAAATTGCTATACAGTGAAAACATGGCAGGTGTGTTAGAAAAAGATTTTGACACAAAAGGAATGGCGGACTGCCTCGAGAATGCGCTCGCGCTTCTCGGAGCGTCCTTACATCCATTTGTGACTCAGACAGAGCGCATGAACCCAAAAGAGTTAGTGGACAATCTGAAGGAGGTTGCAGAAAGTGTGACCTCTGCAGAAATCACAAAGTCCAGTTATGAAAAGCTGGCTAAAATTGCAATCTTGCTGAAAGAATTATTCGATAAGGCTGTTGAGAAAACTGATAACCTCAAACTAAGGTTAGACCGTGAAACAGTGTTTGCTCAAGAAATTGAAGAATACGTTCTTCAATTTAAACGTGAACACGAGGCCCGAATAAGACAATATCATGAACAGATGTCTCAAGAACAGCAAGATACAAGTGCAGAAATTGATTTGCTGAACAGCAAACTACAAGCACTTGAAGCATCACTATCGGAAGCAAGTGACCACTCAAAGACTGAGCTGTTAAAACAGGCTCAATCATATGAGGGGAAGATTAGGGATAAAGACCGTGCGTACCAATCCGTGCGTTCAGATAACGATGTGCTACAAGCACAGTTACAGATCGCATTGAAGGAGCTGGACGCTTGCAAGGCAGACAAGACGGAATCACTCCAACGATGGCTGATTTTAATAAAAAAATATCAGACATCACAGGAGGACCTGAAAGCTTGTGAGGAGAATTTAGCTACAGCTATAAACCAGATTTCTGATATGGGGCGGCCTGGTCTGAGACTCAAAGACGAACAGTCTAAGGGTCCGAGACAGCCACAAACTCTCCAGTCAGATGCTGTTGCACCTCTTCCTCCTGACAACACGCCGTTACCCCCACCCCCACCATGGGCGGTAGGGACAGAACTGCACAGATATGTACCTCTTCCTCCTGACACCATGCCCCCACCCCCACCACCATCATGGGCGGTAGGGACAGAACTGCACCGATATGTACCTCTTCCTCCTTATCAGCCACCCCCACCCCCACCATGGGCGGTAGGAGCAGGCCTTGATCAATCTGCATCAATCACGCATGTGAGACCGTTGATACAGTCTCCTTCAATGGATGATTTGCAGAAAGTCTCAAAATATGTACAACGTTTCGTTCCCGGCCCTATGGGGTCGGCAGGAACAAAAGCGTACCTCAGAGATCTGGATTTCAGATTGAGAGCTTATCCTAATGCTACGGCAGAAGATAAAATCAGTCTGATACGACTCACTTCGGACAGAGAGGTGTTCACCTTCATCGAGCGTCTGCCAGATGCAACGAAGAGGGATTACAAACTTCTGTGTGAAGCTCTGATCAAAGAGTATGACTCTTGCACGGGACCTGCTGGTTTTCCAGCCGCTGACAAGGTCACGCAGGGCAAGAATGAACATCCAAAAGTTTATTACAAAAGAATCTTCCAAGCTTATTTTGGTAACAGAAATGAGACCGGAATGGAAGAAGATGATGGTTTTAAGTTTGTTTTCACCAAAAATCTCCACTCTGATTTTAAAAAATCAGTACAAATGATGGCAAATTTCAGAGAAAAATCCATCAGTGAGATTAAACAGTGTGCTGTGAATGTGTTTGAAGCATGTTCTCATGATAAGACGCCCATTGAAGTGTTTCCTAGTGTAAAGGTTAAACCCCACTCTCTTGAACTAGAAGGACGACGTGCTTCGCCACCTCCTCCTAAGAAAGAGAGAAAACAGTCTGTTCAAAATAACAAACCACGTAATGAAGGTGCACGTTGGGACAAAAATGCTCCTCTTTCAGAGGATGAACGTGATTATCGTAAATGGGGTGAGCGCAGGACGCAACGATATGAGAAACCATATCGGCAGGGGCAGTACGTAAAGGAACCCCCGAAAGACGTACCTGACCGTCCCCCACCTCGGACGAAATGAACCGAGGCGAAAAAATCACAAAAGTTCCAGAAACAAGGCCCTACACCTCTAAACTCGGAAGAGACAGAGAAAATACGCAGGTTGTTAGAAACTTTGAAACACACTGACACGGGAACCCAACCAGGAGCACTTTGCAGTGATGTAATTCCCATTACATCTAATGGCGCGAATGACAACATAACAGATGTCGGTGAAACACACCAAGACATAACTGTTGTTCACTCAAACAACCCCTCATCAGAAGAAGGGGGGGTAAACACACACACAAACGATGACGAGTCATCGCAAGCTGAACACTCAGAAACAGCTTCTGCTGTGCTGACGGTTCAGACAAATCAAGATTACACAGATAAATCTGAACGCGTGAAAAAGCGTCAGAAAAAAACCAAAAGGTTTCTGTGTAACTTTATCAGAAAGGGGGCCGCCAAAAAGGCGTACCTGTCAGTAACACTCGAAGGTGTCCTCACACACGAAGCACTCTTGGACGGTGGGGCAGACATAACAATTATGTCAGCTAAACTGTTCGAGGAGCTGAGGACGGCCGCTGCCAGTGTTAACAGGATAATACCTCTCTCTGAATGTGCTATAGAAATGCAGGGTCTCTCAGAAATGAAAACAACCCTGACAGCTATAGCAATGGTTCACATGCAGATTGGCAATATGACACTGTACCATCCGGTACACGTGACCCATGTTGACTCATTCCCATTTTTGGTTGGCCAGGATTTTATAAATCGCTTTAACGCGATTATAGATTATGGTGATCAAACAATGTGGACAACAGTGAGCAAACCACTGCCAATAGATACGCCTCCGGAGTGTGACACAGACTGCCCAACAGCAGGTACCGCGGAAGGCACAAAGGACTCCTCAGCCGAGGACACGAGCCCGGTGAGTACTCCTCTGACACCATGTGAAACCAAAGAAACCCAAGTGGTCCAAACTCTGACTCAACAAGACAGCCTCCTCTGTGAGCTGGAACAGCCAGAGTCCACCAAACACTACCTACCATTGGTAGTTAAGGGTGTAGAGATCCAAGGGTCCCACACCAACGATGCTGTACTGTCTCTGTGGACAGATAAATCAGCAATTAACCGAGCTTTCTACGAAACCTTGGTTCACAAACACGTTGGTCTAGAACTAATTAAAAAAGCTTTCCGCTTTCCATTAGTTCCCAATAGTTCACAGGTAATGACCGCAGAAGGAGTCATTAACCTAAAACTGAACTGGAATCAACGAGAACTGGTTCACCCATTTCTCGTTATCCAAAACTTACCACATGCATCCTACATAGGCTCTGACATTTTGGTAAGGTTAGGTGTCCACGTGGACACCATCAACAAGGTGCTGTGGTCCCTGAAACCAGCCACAAAGGATCCTCCTGTGCTAGACACAGCG